ACAAACCACCAAAAACCAACGGGCTTCTTTTTTGCCTGGGCGTTCCAAAGAAGCCTTCAGGTTATAAAAGGCCAAAAAACAGGTCCGCATTCCCACCCTGATGTTGCAACCGAAGAATACCAGAAAGAAAAGAACCGCAAAAACACAGAAAAAACTAGGCAGAAATAAATTGTGACAAAACGTTTTTGGCCATTCCCGGATGGGTCCATGGGAAACATTTACTGTTTATGTCATTGTTGAAAACAACGCTCTTCTATCCACCAAATAGATCGCTACGCTTGTGGAGAACCATGTCAGCGGACAGGCCTTGCTGTTTAATGTCTGTATTGTAAGTCGGATGTGCAAGATCGGATGGGGTCGGATAGTTGGATAGTCGAGCGGGCACGTGTACACATATCGAAAGGAAATTTGCATAAAACACTTGGCTTCCACATGATGTTGGCCTCAGAACACATCATGTTGGCCATCGATAATTACGCACCGTTTCATAGTGATTTTGGTTCATACGCACAGCAACAACAACAACAACAACAAAAACGAAAACAACAATAGCAACGACAATAACAACAGCAGCAGCAGCAGCAGCAGCACCACCACCACCACCACCACCACCAACAACAACAACAAAAATACCACCACCCCCGAAAAAAGCATAAAGAGATAGAGAAACATCACACACAATTTTTTTCGTGGTTTCCGAGATGAATGTAAAGATTCTTTACATTTTAACTTATAGCTACGCCTAGAGCTGTTTTCACATGAATGTGTTCAACTTAACCCACAAATACAGACTCGTTCAAGGCCAAAGAATTTATTTCATTCCAGACATTCAGATAATTTAGGCAGATTTAACAATGACAATAGCAACCTTTATTCCTCTCTCAGATAGAAAAATTTGTCTTGGTCTTTTATAACGGTAGTGGTGTTGCAAAGGTCGGTCAGATGCACTCACGCATACACACAAGACAGGACATTGCGTTCTGAACATATCCCCGCTCTGTAAACTCTCTCTCTCTCTCTCTCTCTCTCTCTCTCTCTCTCTCTCTCTCTCTCTCTCTCTCTCTCTCTCTCTCTCTCTCTCGTGTTGCCACCATTCGACAGATCCTGCCGCATTGGGAGTGAATCTCAAATTTGTAAAATTGTACACTGGCAACATAGTAATCGCCCACGGAGGCGACTCGCATTCGAATCGGCCACTCGTAAATAAAAGCGATGTAACTACTAGTTTGGCACGATCAGTAATGAAGCAGAGGAGGGCTTTATTTTCTTTTTATTTTCTTTGTTCTGATTCAGAAAATATTTTGATTCTTCTCTGGCTTTTGTGTCGAGGGACAGAGTGGAGAGAATTACAATTAAAATTTATAACTTGTCATAACTGAAGAGGTGGTCACACCGTCAGCAATGTAAAGAAAATTAAGGTTATGAAAGAAAACCCATAACTATAAAAAAAATCCGAAAACGTCATAATTTCCAGCTCTAAATTATTATGCGACACAGAATTGTTTCCGTCTCTCTCTTTCCTTGTTCTTTAGCGTAAAATTAACTTCATCCCAAGAGAGTTCCTATCTTGCCCCAAAAATCCCCCTCGCACTGGCGAGACGCAGGGGCCTTTTATTGGGCAATTGGATTTTCCCGGACAGTGCTGGTGCAATGGAGGGAAATTAATATCAAATCGAGGGCGTCTTCCTTTGTCTTTGTTGCGAGCCATTGAGGACTGCTGGTGGAGTGGAGAGCCTTGTCATCTGTCGATGTTGGAGGAAATCGTGATACGCAAAATGAAAAGCCTTGTTCAGGGCTAAAATAGAGAAAGGGAAGTCGTGTGCACGTCCTGAATTAAGTGAGAACATTCGAAAACTCTTAATTAGGACTAAAAGAACTTTTTGGTGTTTTAAGGGATGCTCATTACTTAAGCCCGTTAATGGGGACATAGATGACCCGAATTATAACATAATATAGCACCAACCACGCCCCCCCTTTTTTGGGGGGGGGGGGGGGGGGGTAAACCTATCGATCACCTCTCTTGAGAAAAAAAAGCCTGCTAATAAGTACAAGAAATATCGAAAGTGAAAGACAGACAAATATCTACCTCTTCAAAAATGTCTTTGATTAAATGAAGAAAATATGTTAGCTACAAAAAGCCGCTCAACCATAACCCCATCGTAACCACTATGAAGATTTATAAACTTGAACATTTTTACTAAATTCCGGGTTGACTTTTTTATGTTGTTGAAAATGATACCAAGTATTTTGTCATATTTGTCCTGGAATCAAAATGATTCAGCAAGCGCTCTTTTTACTTTCATGTCCCCCCCCCCCCCCCCCACCAGCCAACCACAAAAAAAAACAACAAAAAAAAAAAAAAACAAAAAAAAAAAAAAAAACGACTCCCGAAAATTCCACCTGCACAAAAAAACACCCCCCCCAAAAAAATACTTTACGACAAGTTGAAACAACAGAGCTCCAAAAAAAACTCAAAACAGAATCAGAGAAAAGACCCAAAGCAAAAACCAAAAAGCAAACCCTTTTCCGCCTGAGTGAACAGTGTAATGTAAATAAAACTACAAAAGCTCATATCAAAACTACGAGACTGTTTTATGATTCAAACTACAGGGTCAGAATCCCCCCCCCATGACCTCTGGACAACTTCGGGAATCCGGATTTATCCAGAAATTTGACACCTCTTCCTGTTGTAAATGTTGTATTGATCATGTTGTATATACAC